CTTGAGGTTGGACAGGTAATTTCACACCTTTTCATTAGAAGACATTTAATTATTGTCAACATAGATTATAAAAATACGGTAATATAGCTATAATAGAGCTCTCCTCTTAACTAGGTGTGCTAACTTAATATGCCAATCTCTGTTTCCTTAAAAATGGGTTGGTGATTCCAGAATTCCTCCCAAACCTGGCTCAGACAGGTAATTAGAAACCTTAATGCAACTACAAATGTCAAGGCAATGGCTGTCACCCTTCCCCCCCTGCACATGGAAAGCCTGATGTGCCCAGGATTATCCGAAAATTCTTGCTCATATGTCTCGTCACTCTTTCTTTTCATTTGAAAAAAATACACTAGAACCCAAGTTACTAAATATTAGGTTGTCACCTGAACTGTCTGTTGCAAACTTCCATACTTTTTCTACCAACTCAGTTTTGATAGTCACTTGTGATTGTCCCATTTATAGTGAGAAGAAATGTAAAAAATGATTCCAATATTGGGTTTTGGTTTACACCTCCCTGAAGTGCTGGGGTTGCATTTTGCAACAGTCTGCACACAGGAGTAAAACAAAACCCCAAGAGTCTGATAAACAGCTGTTCTCGCTCTACAGTTAAATAAATAACAACAAGAGGCAACATTTATGGAGCACCCACTGTGTGCTAAGCCACTCATCTACATTATTTCTTTTCATCTTGATGAAAATTCTGAAAAGTAGAAGTCTGGATGAGGAAGCTGAGACATGGAACTATTGCTCCAGGTCACATTAAGCAGCTGAACAAGGGCTCAAATTTAGGTCTTGCTGACTCTCAACCTGTGTTTAGAGACTGTCCTGTTACTCTTATAAATAATCTCACTGAGAACAAGGCCAACTGGCTGAGTTTGACGCTGGATCCCAAATCACTTTCTTTCACTCTCTGCCAGACTGGAAGACCGTAGAGTGATTACATATTTCTGGCCAGCAGTATCTTGCCACTTAGGGAAAAGTGATACCCCAAATCTTTAATTGTTTCATTATGGGCAAAAACAAAGCCCCTGTTAAGCTTTGGAATGACTGTAGGAAAATCTTCTCTGGACCTTAGTCTCTCCTCAGGCAAGATGGAAAGAACATTAGCACTTTCTGAAGTTGCTTTGGGAAGAAGACAGGCAGTGGGTGCCACTTAGTTGTGATCCATAGACACTTTTTGGGCCGGCTACAGCTACAGCAGGGCATTTTAAGGCAGAGGGATGAAGGCCTCTTATGGTAAACAAAGCTGGTAAGGGCCCTGGATGGAGTTTTTTTTAAAGTAGGAGTTTGACTCTGAGCTTCCTCCTGCTTCTTAGGTCCATATTGATTAAGATGTTTCTCCAAGGCTGCCTTGCAAGATAGGTAAGAGGCCTGATCAAAAGCTTTATATATATATATATATATTTAAAGTGTTATTAATATACAATCTTATGTTGGTTTTAAATGTACATCACAGTAGTTCAGCAGTCCCTGTGATCAACTTATATTGTGGTTGCGAGTCATTGTGCCTTTTTATGCCCCTCCCCCTCACCCCTGCACCTGCCCCAACTCCTCCCCTTTGGTAACCACTAGTCACTTCTCAGTGTCTATGGTCTACTGCTGTTTTGTTCCTTCTGCTCTACATTGTTTTTATACTCCACAAATAAATGAAATCATATGGTATTTGTCTTTCTCTGCCCTGGCTTATTTCACTTAGCATAATACCCTCTAGATACATCCATGTTGTTGCAAGTGGCAGGATTTTTTTTTTATGGCTGAATAATATTCCATTGTGTATATGTACCACATCTTCTTTGTCTATTCATCTGCTGTTGGGCACTTAGGGTGCAAAAGCTTTGTATTTATTGAACTTGTTTGTGTTAAATTTCCTACCACCTACATCATTTGCCTGGGACGGGGAACCCAGCTTACTTTGGGGGAGGTGTAGGTAGGTAAGAGACAGTGCTGTTTGCTAACTGCCTGTTCAGTGTGGTGTCTCATTAAGGTCATTTCCTTTGTGCAATTAAAGAGCTCCTAGGGAAGTTTTCTCATTTATATGTTGTTGTTTTTTATGAGGCAAAATATTTAACATCTGTAGGTGTGCCTCACCCTCCCATTCCTGTTAGGATTCCATATCCTCCTCACACTGGCAGGACCAGAGAAGACCTGGGCGCTTTCCCCAGCAGGATTGAAAACCCCTTGGGACCTAGTTCTCTGTTTTGGAAATGGCTGCAGTTGGGGTCTTTCTGCAACAAGCCTCTGAACCCTCTGCTTATGGAAAAAAGCCCCCCATTCTCCAGGATCCCTGAGGTCGTCTTTTTTCTTGTGGCCTGGCACTGGGCTGGGAGCTGCAGAGGTAGCCTCCCCTACCCCCGCCGACAGCGAGGAGCACCACACAGGTGGAGGAGGGCTTGTGGTCAATGTCAGCTAGTTGCTTGGCGGTCGCCTGTGTGCTGCAGCTCCTCCTGACCAACCCAGACCTCCTCAGGGAGCGTTAGGCCGCCACAGTCCACGCAGCTTGCTAGCGCAGTGGGACCCACGCTCAGCACCAGACAGGCAGGGACAGGTGGACCACTGAGGTGCCTTTGTTGTGGAAAGGCCACCCGCTCTGCCTTCCACTATCCTGCTTACCCTCTCCTTTATCTGTTACAGTCCCTGTTGGGAGGTATTCTGTACAGAACAGTTCAGTCCCAGGTCTTCTCAGCCAGTTGTTTTTTGGGTGGGAATACACCCCCAGCTGGGGGGTGGCGGTGGGCATGGGCAGAAGTGGATCTGATTAGTAGAAATCTAAGGCAGCCTTCCTCAGTGGGACTTCCACGATGTCTCCATCAGCAGGGCCGCACAGGTGTGTAGGTTGGGTCATTGTTTTTGTGTAGGATGCCTGGCCTGACCTCTCTGAGCTTATGAGGAAAACTAATAACCTCCTTAGAAGGGGGTTGTCCTGATCTACTGAAATAACATACCTGAAAGTTATGAAAGTGCTTTATGAATATCTTGTGTGAAAACGGTGGCTAATGGAAGTGATACAAAACGTCCCCTATTAATAGTAGGAGTACAAGTCACTATTATGCCTAATTGGAGGAAGCTGATGTATACACACACGCTGTACATATGTCTACACAAATACACGTGCTGTATGTATGCATACACGCACATGCTGTACATATGCACACAATGCTGTATGTATGCATACATACATGCTGTACATATGTATACACATACACTGTGTGTATGTACACACACATGCTGTACATATGCACGGACACACACGCTGTATGTATGTATACACACACATGCTGTCCGGAAGTGTGAGAGCCATTACAGGGACTGACTGACGGGTGGCAAGGTACTGACATTGCTTCGTCTTTTTGTTTACTCCTGAGTGAGAAAAACTGTGGCAACTTTTCAAAATACATCCTTTCCTTACCTGTTCACTGGTGTTCCTCAGCCTCCATCCCCATCCCTCTCTGCTCTCTTTGAATTTGCATAGTGTCTGCATATAAATACATAAATAAATTCTTCCATTCAGTTTTAGCAGGGTACTTATTTTCCTTGGCTGTTCTGTTCTCTGTCAAGTAAACATTGGCTACACATTATTCTTTACTTTTGGAACTCTGAGAACAACTCAAAGCCAAGGGCTTGTTGTGTAACACTACTTAATAATCTGATGTAATATGGTCCATGTTTGAAATAATAGGTATGTTTTCTTCAGGGCTGCTGCCTCATTCCTCAGCACAGTATATCTTAATTCACCAAGTAAGAACCAGACCATGTTGGGATGCTACAACTGCATTATGCTTGGCATAACTTACTCTGTGGTCATTTGGCTTAGTCATTAAGAGAGTTGAAGGAACTGTATGAACCGAGGCTCTCAGACCTGGTGTGAGGGAGAATTACCTACTGCAGCCTTGAAGAGGCACATTTGCACAAAGTTCAGGTCATTCTCTACCTGGGAAGGAGTTCTGTATCAGTCAGTTTTTTTTTTCCCTCCCTCCTTCCTACCAATAAAAATGTATTGAGCACCTGCTGTTTGCTGAGCATCAGCGTGAAAAACATCATCCCTCAAGCTTTCAAGGAGCTCAGAGGTGTGCCGGTGTGTATGTGTGTGTGTGTGTGTGTGTGTGTGTCTGTGAGTGAGATCACAGTACGGTGAGTTAGAAATGATAAAAATGGTTTGAACAACTTACTTGGTGTGAGAGGACAACTCTGGGAGGCTTTGCTGAGGAGATGTCATGTGAAGTATTGAAGGGTAAACAGGAATTTGCTGGGCTAAAAACTAACAAAAAAAAGTAGAAGTAGATTCTGTTCTTGGCTCAAGAGAATCCACGAGGGCACCGAGGCATGGAGAAGCTTCCCATGACTGGGAAGTATGATGTGAAATTACTATGCTTTGGAAATTATGACAGTATAGTCTGGTGTTTCTAGCACGTGGATGCATGGTTTACAGAATTGGACCTTCTGTGGATGTGCTCCTGAGGTTTGTCTAAGGCTATGGAAATGATCTGCTAAAATCTGGCGTGTAGGCAAACATTATTCTCCCTCTGCTTCATAGTGTAGAACCCTGGAGGGCCAGCGGAGCTCTTACTAGTCAGCCCTGTGTGGGGACAGACCTGAGAGAAACTCTGAACCCTTCAATCCACTACCAGTTGCCGACTGCTACTAAGTGGGAAATATGCAGAAAATATTCTCTAGGCAAAATTACCTTATATCATTGAATTTCCTATTCTGGTAAATAATGCTGGATTACAAGAGTCACACCAACTTCTGCCTGCACAGGGTCATCCTTAAAGTGGCTTCTGCCTGTCTCTTCTCCTTGTTTCAGGCTATTTCCTAAGGACTGCCTAGAACAGAGCCCTCCCCATAAATGAAAGCAGCCCCTGGACCTTCTTACTATGGGTTTGAAAGGATGCGCAGAAGGGAAGTGTGAGAAGTAGGAGGTCTAAAATGGGAGAGCCCCAGTGGAGCAAGTCACGTGGCAGAAACAGCCAGGGGAGTCTCATGACTCCCAGATATCATCTCACCTCAGCATCATTGCTGAACTCAAGCATTGGCTGGGACAGTTTTGGGATGCCTGGCCTCAGCACGGACTCACTGATGGGTTTCAGTTGACTTTGGCTTGATGACTCCCCACTGGCCTTGCTGAACTTTTTTTTAGGACTGTGCTGCGGTCTAAGATGCTTCCACCAGGCTTTCTTCCTTCCCTCTCTTTCATTCAAGGTCAGACATGCACCATGGCCTGACAGCTTTCTCAGCTTCTCTTGGCTTCTCCTCATTTCCCCTACAGACATTCCCCTGATGAATTTCCTGCATGTCTAAGTCCATCTGGTGGCTCATTCTTGGAAGACCTGGAATATTGGACGGAAAGGGCAAAGGAATGCTGTTTTCAGTTCTAAGCCCTTTAATGCTGAGATTCACAATTAGGCAAATCTATTACTTTGATCAAAAGAAAAACTAAAAAGGATAAGAAAGGGAACAAAAAGGTGCCAAGTAAATCAAGAGAGAGCAGTTGAACAATACTATAGATAAAATAGGAATAATAGGAAATGAGGTACAAGAAGGTATAACAATTTTAACATGTATATATATATTTTAACAAGCATGGCACTGAGGGGTGGGGGATAATAAAAATGTAATTTCATGTCATACTGCCTCCTATGGTCTGTGTAATGGGAGTAGCCTTTGCTTATTCCTAGTTGAATCTGTCTTGGACTTTCCTTATAGCTTATTAGCTCACTCCTGTATGATAAAGATTCTCTCTCACAGTGTCAACTCAGTAATTAAAATTGTCCAGTTTGATGTTTAATCAAACTCAATCTTCACTCAAGGAAAAAACTTCTCTTTTCCTTATTGACAGGGACAAGAAAGATCCCATGGCCTTATAAGTTCCAGATAGAACTGCCATTCTGTCCCTTCTGCTTCATTCTATTTGCCCAACCAAGTTGATGGCCAACTCAAAAGTTAAAATTCAAGGAAATATGTTTACTCCTGAATGAGAAAAACTGCACATGGTAAAGGGTATGGACAGAGGAAGGAGGGAAATTAGGGCCAGGAATTTAATCTTCCCCTTTAGTGAAGAGAGAGAGTCTCTAATTAGTGATATTTGGCCCTGAGTCCATCCCTTGACCATTCCTTGTGGCCAGGGTGGGGACCTGGTACTGTGACTGGCAATTACAATAGGACCACGTGCTTGAAGTGAGTAAGGAGAGCTGTTTCCCCAGAATAAGGAGATGCTGATCTTGGGAGAAGGAAGGAATGCTGCACAAGCAGACCAAGCAATGCCATCGCCATGCCACCCTGTCAGTCAGGCCCTGTGATTGCTCTCTCACATCCGTACAGCTAATATCCTCTTTTCATAGTTGAGAAAATTGAGTTAAGAGAGGTTATGTAAGTCGTCCAAGATGACTCATCTTGAATGATGAAGATTTTATGATTAGAAAATGGATTTGTCTATTTACCAAAGCAACAGTAATCAAGAGAGTGGTGTTTATTAAAAAGACAGACACGAAGATCAGTGGAACAGAAGGTGGAGTCCAGAAATAGACTCCCCAGTTCAATTCAATGTAGGAAGGATAGTCTTTCCAACATGGTGGTGGAACAAATAACAGCCATGTGCAAAAAAAAAAAGAAGAGAGAAAGAAAGAAAGAAGGAAGGACACAAGGAGAGAAAAATGAAAGTGAAAAGACAAAAAAAAAAAGGGGGGGGAAAGAAAAAAAAAGAAAGAATCTCAACCTATATCTTTCACCTTATGCAGAAATCACCCCAATATAGATCATAGATCTAAATGTACAATGTAAAACTATAAACCTTCTAGAAGAAAAATCTTTGTGACCTTGGATGAGGGAAAGATATCTTACATATGACACTAAAAGTGTGATCCAAGAAAGAAAAAATTTATAAATTGGACTTTTTTAAAATGAAAAACTTGGGCTGTATGAAAGGCACTGTTTCATTAAGAAAATGAAAAGACAAACTGTAGAGAAGGAGAAATAGTTTCAAATCACATATCTTAAAAAAGACTTGAATACAGAATATGTAAGAACTTTAAAAACATTGATAAGAAAACAAAACCAATGAAAAATGGACAAAAGATTTTGGACAGCTATTTCATGAGAGGAGATATATGGATGGCAAATAAACACATGAAAATATGCTCGACATTATTTATAATGAGGGCAACCTCAATAGTAATAACACACACTCGTTAGAATGGCTGAGAACTCAAGCCAAACCAAAATCAAAACAAAACACTAGCAACACTAAATGCTAGCAAGTATCCACAGCAACTGGAACTCTCATTGCTGGTAGGATGCAAAATGGCACAGACACTTTGGGAAACAGTCTGGCAGTTCCTTACAAAGATAGACATATACTTACCGTAAGACTCAGTAATCCTAGGTATTTACCCAAGAGAAATAAACAATTCAGTTCACATAAAAAACTATACATGAATGCTTTTTGCAGCTTTCTTTATAATTACTCAGAACTGGAAACCCAAATTCTGCCCACAATTGAATGGGTAAATTAATGATGGTACATCCATACCATGGAATAGTACGCAGCAATAAAAAAGGAAGAACTACTGATACACAGCAACATGAGTGAAACACAAAAGCATTTTGCTAAGTGGAAGAAGCCACACTCAATAGCCTACAGTCTGTATGATTCCATTTGTACGGCATTCTCAGAAAGGGAAAAGTAAAGGAATAAAGACCAGATCAGTGGTTTCCAGGGGTTTGGGGTGAGTAGATGTGTTGATTACAAAGAGGGAGCACCAGGGGATTATTTGGGCTGATGTAACTCTTCTGTATCTTGATGGTAGTCATGGCATCATACTGCTGCTTCACTTCCAAGTTCAGAGAAAAGATACATACATTTTTCCATATTGAGAGCTAATAGTGAGAAATCTTAACTTCTGTTTTCTGACTAAATGGTAAGAATTATGTCTACCTGCTGAACACTCTGCAAAGGCTTTTGACAGAGCACTGAGGTATGGTATGCAGAATAATGGCTCCCCAAAAATGTCTACATTCTAATCCCTGGAACCTGTGAATACGTTACCTTAGGTGGCAAGAGGGTCTTTACATATGTGACTAATGTTAAGCGCCTTGAGATGGGAAGAATAGCTTGAATTATCCAGGTGGACCCATTCGTATTAAAAGAAATCCTTAGAAGCAACAACAGTGACTGGAGAAAGCCATGACTATGGAAGGATGGTCCCTTCCTCTCCCCATCCCTGCTTTGTTTTCCTTCATAGTACCCATCACCCCACAGTGGGCAGGATAAGGCCTCCCAAAGATGTACACATCTTGATCCCTGGAACCTGCAGACATGCTATGTTCCACAGCAAAGGGGAGTGAAGGTTGCAGGTGGAATTACATTTGCTAATTTGCTGACCTTCAAATAGGGAGGTTATTTTGGATTGGGCAAGTATATCTGATGTAATCACGAGGGTCCTAAAAGTGGGAGAGGAAGGCAGAAGGGATCAGAGTGATGGGATGAGAGTACTCAGCCTGCCCTTGCTGGCTTTGAAGATGGAGGAAGAAGCCAGAGCCAAGGAATACGCAGCTCCTGGGAGCTGGAAACGGCAAGGAAAAGGATCCTCCCCTGGAGCCCGCAGGAAGGAATGCAGCTCTGCAGACACCTTGACTGCAGCCCCGTGAGGCCCACGTCGGGCTTCTAGCCCACAGTACTGCAAGGTGGTAAGGTCGTGCTGTTTCAGGCCACTGAGCTTGTAATTTGCTACAGCAGTGAGAAAACTAATACATAAGGGGAATGCACTCTTCTTAGGTATGAAGGGGAAATAGGACAAGTAGGACGCTGCCTGGTTTCCTGATTCCTCCACCCTCAGCTCTAGGCAGGTAACCGATCTGTCCACTTCAGAATCTGTTTCACTGCCACTGGGGTCGGTTGTGATCCTAGCAGGACCCCAGTGTGGGGTTATTGAGAGAAGATTTATTGAGTATTAAACCACACTCCTGCTGCCCGTGCCGTGTGTTCCTGCACCCCTTTACCAGTGCCTGGCCTCTTGCACGGGTGACATGGCTTCATTCGGAGCCCAGTGTCATGTCGTGTCTGCCCCTGTCTTGAGATTCACGTCGCTGATCTGCTTTTCCTCCAGCAGAAATCGCTAGAACTTGTGCCTCCCCAGCCCCCGTGCTCGGTTCGCCCTCACATAGCTTCTACTTCTTCCTCTCCTCTACTTCTCGCCTGCTTGCAGTTTTGTTTCCTGCCTCCTGTGTGACAGAGGGAAAATGTATTAAATTGATGTACTGGCAATACCTCCCTTCTTGTCTACCAGGAAGAATGAATGCTTTGTGTGCTCCGCTCAGTAGAGGGCCTCTGTTGACTTAGGCAGGGTGACTGGCAGTGAGGAGAATGAAAATGCTGAGAGAGACGGAATTGCTCTCCCCACCACAGGATGAGGGCGATATTTGGGAGAAAACTGAAGATCAAGAGAAGAGGCAATAGAGATGGGTGAGCCGGAAGCTGTGCAACTTTTGAGGAAAGAGAAACTCCAAGCATACTGAAAAGGGAGGCTCTTATATAATGTGTAATGTCATAGTCTCTTTGGATCCCTAGGCAACATTCCCTGAATGGTGGATCTATGGAAACTTGGATGCATTCAGTGCTGAGGTTGGCCTTCAGGCAAGGGCAGGATGACCCCAAACAGCCCAAATCCTTTCAGGTGGCGGGCGTGAGGAACGAACGGGACAGGAAGGGCGCAGAGCAGGCTTCCCAAGCAGGCCTTTCAGCAGGCATGGCCACTCAGCACTCAGGAATTCTTCAGAAGGGATGCAGAGCAGTCCAGGAAAGAGAGATAGGAGAGGGCATTTATCTTCCTGCCCCCTCCTGTCTCCATTTCCCTTGCCCAAGGTGTGCTTTACACGGAGCTGAATCCCCGGAACTCCCAGGGGGTGTCCTCTGGCCACCCTGTGACCACTCAGGAAACTGGTTTCCTTCACTCTGTAAGCAGGGAGTGACTCATGTGGGCAGGACACTGACAGAAAGAAAGGACAATGGCAGAGATCTGAGAAGGCTGAGAACTTGGTCTCTGTCACTGAGAAAAACGTCTATTTAACTCTTGCTTCTAATTGTGAACCATGTTTCCAAGTGCATAGCTGATAAGCGTGGAACTTGTGCCTTCATTAAAGACATACGAAAGCACAGTGAGAAAACTAATACATAAGGGGAATGCACTCTTCTTAGGTATGAAGGGGAAATAGGACAAGTAGGACGCTGCCTGGTTTCCTGATTCCTCCACCCTCAGCTCTA